CCTTTATATCTTTATTGATATGTCGATGACAGGCAATGTCGTTCAATATTGGGGTCATATTGCATGCCCAGAGAAAAAGGAAAAGATTTTACATAAGGGAAAGTCTACCACGGGGCCTAAAAATCATAGTTCGGAAAAGAAACTCCAATGATGCCCTGCCGCACGTCTGCGCCCTTTCTCCTTAGTAGCGAGTCCTTTGAGAGGAGTATTTGATGGTTCAGAAATGCGCCCACCTTAAAAGGGTCTCTTGCGACAACCATCCTGCAAGTAGGGCTCTTGATGAACCTGCTTATTGGCCTACAGGGCCCAAGTTGTGCGTCTGAGGATCAATAGTAACAATGGAGAAGGGACACAGTGTTTACCCAGGTTTGGGCCCTCTTAATGGAGGTAAAACCCTACTCCTGCTTGAGTATATTCGAGGGTATAGGGGTTACAAGAGTTGATCTACCACGAGATCGATTCGGCTAACTCTAGACAGCTAGCCTAGCAATGTTATGATCCCACCCCGATCTAACTCTTCGGTTTATATAGACACCGGAGGGGCTTAGGGTTTGTATAAAGTCGGTTTTATAGAAAGGAACAATATATCCGAACACCTATACTTGCCATCCACGCATGTGAGAGTCCCCACCAGACACGAGAGATAATCTTCTGTCTTGTATCTTGCCGGCACATCAGTCCGACCCACATAAGTAGACTGGACGCCCAAGGACCCCTTTAATCCAGGACTCCCATAGTGCGCTTCTCCGAAATTTCGAATCCCGCAAGATCCGGAGACCGCAGGGCATTCAATTGCGTCAAAGATTTCATGCTCTGATCCACTCAAAATTTTACTGCATAATTCACTCGGTGATCTCAACAACCAGAATCGGTCGAGGCGACTAAGGCAGGGTTAAAAATACCATTGTGCTTTCCAGATTCCCATAAAGCACCTCCGGAACATGGAATCGAATCAGAACCAACTTCAGCCCTTCTTCACTCGGACCTCAATCCATTCGGGGGCTAATGACGATAACATGTACCTAAGGTAGGGTCTTAGGCGTGACCTAGACACCCTACCCAAGGACACTGCATTAAAGTCAGAGACATTCAAAGTCCAACAGAGGGTACCGACTGAAATCACCTTGAAGTGTAATCCACTCGACAGAAAATTCCACTCGGATACCCCAATTCCACTCGACCATTATAGAGTCGCTTGACCGCATGAAGAACCACTCAGAGCACAGAAGATCTAAAGCCACCTCAGAATGGCAACGGTCAGGCGTTTACTCTATAGTCATAAAGATCATTACTGGCTGGCGTTACCACTAACGCCCCTGTCTTAACTCACATTGAACCTTGTGTAACTGAGGGCTGCGAGGGTCAAGGCGCACTCTATATAAGCCACCCCCTCCTCAGGCACAAGGGTTCGCACCACCTGTAACTTCCACGCATAATCCAGTCGACAAGCCTCCGGGCACCGAGACATAGAGTTGTTATCTCCTTCGAGAGGGGCCTGAACTCGTAAACTTGCGTGTACAACCTCACCGTAGCTAGGACCTTGCCTCCTCCTACGCACCCCCTATTCTTACTATCAGACTCATTCCCACGACAGGTCCGACGAAGGCCACCGCCCTTTTCGCTCCCACTGAAGCCAAGCTTGACGGGCTCAAAATCGTCAACCGATTAGCCACTTGCAGATTGTGCAGGTGGAGGCTACAAAGCCGGAGCTATAGTTTCAGTTCATAGGGCTCATGGCCGGCCGAAAATGGCGAACGGTCGTTGGCGGTCATTTAGACTAGGTTTAGAGTATGATTTAGCTCAAATATGTCGAAATGTAATTAGTTTGCTTTGAACTTTATGAAAAGCAGCTGATTTTATCTAAAAATTATTCAAGTATGAATGAATATCGTACTGTTTGTTTAAATATCCATCAAATTTGTTCACTTCTGTTAAATTACTTCCAAAG